ACAGTGCTGGGCAGGTGATGGAGGGGTTAAGGGCTTGGGTGCTTGAACGAGGGTGCATGTAGTCTGGGGAATGCAGCGTGGACAACTGTGACAAGGTGCCCCCTCTGATTAGAGAGCACGCCTGGCGAAGACTAAAATTAGTTCTCCCGGCCTTTGGCTGCTCATGTGATGCCATCTCTACCTCTTGGGAGTTGGCAGCCATGAGAAGGACTGGGATACCCGACAGGCTTTTGTTTGCAGCAATGCTCTCCTGTATGGGCACAGCTCTTGTGGCTGTCCCTGGCAGTTTTTGACCTGCTGCAAGGCTCATTCGGTTGCTCTGGGTGTTTGTGCTCTGCTCTGAAGGGAGCTCTTGCATTGCCACAACAGACTGCAGCATTAAATACATGAAACGGACCCATGGCAGTTTCTTCTCTGTGGGAACCCAACAGCGAATCAGTCCTTGCTCTATCAAAATGGTAATAGGGTCGGTGTAGCCATTATAGAGGTCTCCTGAAGATGGAGAGAACGAAAAAGTTAGTGCCCTTGCCTTGGGGAGGATGTGCTCATAGCTCTGTTGGCATTGCAGGTCTTACTGCCCTCTCCCACAGCCCGGGGGCTTGGGTGCAGCAGCGCTGAGCACTGCCCTACCAGGTTCCCCCAGAGCTGGGCTCTATGTGTCTTAACTTGATCATCCTGCCTGAAAGGGATGTATGTGGTATCTCCCAGTATCTACAATGAAAATCCGCTTTTTTTTTTTTTTTTTTTTTTTTGCAGTCAGAGAAAAAATTGGACCGATAGCAACGCCTGATTACATCCAGTATGCGCCTAGCCTGCCCAAAACCCGCTCAGGTAAGGGGCCCAGTGACAGTGCTGGGGAGCACTGAGCAGTTCCTGTCAGGGGAAGGAAATCAGCCATAAATTGTTTCTCCAGGGCCACTCAAATTCAGGGGGGAGCAACCTCAGGGCAGGCAGGATACTGCACATCTGGGCACTCCCCACTCCTGCTAAGGATGCTGAAGAGATCCTGATTCCTGCTTTCTTTTCATGGCTGTTGTTACAGGAAAGATTACCAGACGGATATTAAGGAAGATTGCCAAAAATGACCAAGATCTGGGGGACATCTCCACCTTGGCAAACCCGGGCATCATAAAACATCTTTTCAACGGCAGATGTGACACTAAACAGTAGCAGCATGACCTGTCCCTGCTGAGCAGAACTGTAGCAGCAGCAGTGTATTGATGAGCAGGTCCCGTGAATAACCACCGTCTGCCCTGGGAAGGAAACCTTCACCTGTTGAATTGAATGTACAAACGTTACGAACGAGGGAAGGGCTGGCTCCAGAGAGGCCAGGTCTCACTGGCGTGTCCATGCCTTGGAGGAGTGTGTGCGTCGTGTTCCAGACGGGTATCGTACATCTGAGGCTCAGCCTTGTGCACAGAGGGACTCGTCCTCCTCCCTTTTCAGCACCTCGTTCTTGATTTTTAATTATTTTTTTTTGGGGGGGTGGGGTGGGGTGTTAATTAACTTTATGTAATTTATGTGGCACCCTGCGCACAGTGGGAAGGAACTTCGGGGGTTGGAGGGGAAGTGGTGCTGGAGTTGCTCAATGCAGGCAGGCGAGGGAGGTCCATACACGCCAGCTACGCTTCCTTTTCTATGTGGAATGCTGCAAGCTGCAGGAGAACTTAAAAATGCTCTCACATCATAACTGTATAGCTGAGTGTCTTGCCATCCACTGTCCGAGCCTGTTGCTAGCAGAGGTCCCCTAGCCTGAAAGGGACTAGGGCAAGGCTCAAGGGAGCTCTGTGCTTTGAACAGGGTTTTTTAGAGCACTTTGGTACCAAGATCTGCTACTTCCCAACTGCATGGTGCCAGTTGGTGTGTTTTTCCCAATCCAGGGTCCTTCACTGGCCAGGGACACGACAGGGAGCCACGTGTGGTCTAGGAGGAAAAGTCTTGGTCTGACATGCTCCACAGAGCGCCGCTTCCACCTGTTCTTGCTGCCACCAGCTTGCGGCTAAACTTGGAGGCTGTGCAGCTGGATGCTCCTTTTGCATCCCGGGGCAGGAGCGGGTGCTGCTGCTGCCGCAGGGCAGAGGGGAAACAAAGCCATGCAGAGGCACCTTTCGCTTTGCAGGCAAACCAGGCACTGGGTTATAGCACACCACGACCATCACTACAGCAAAGAAACGGAGGCAGGGAGGGCGGCCTTAGTCCTAGATGATGTTTTCTCATCAAGATAAAAACAACAGTGGAAGATGTTTAAAGTTAGCTTTTGCTTAAATCTGACATGGCTTTATGATGATGATAGGAGAAAACTCAAAACCTCTCACTCAAAGAGCCTGAACATCACAAGGGTACAGCCAAAGCCATTCTTCTTCAAATGAATTACATTTAACTCCAGCCCTGGGTTGAGCTGGGAGAGATACCTCCTTTGTAATGTCTGTATGAAAATTGCATGTGAGCTGTTTGATATTGCACTTAAACCAAAGGAGAAATGGGCTTTAAAACTTGTTGCAACAGCTGTTTTGGCGATGGCCAACGTACAGGCTTTACCTGCAAACTGTGCTGACTTTTGGCTGGGCTGAAGAGGATGAGGCAACTGCCTCCAAGGCTGGTAGCTCAGGGCAAGTGCTGCAGGTGCTCTGGTAAGCTGTTGTCCAAGTCCCAAATCTCACTTCTTACCTGCTGCTCTCACTGGCACAGTACCTGTCTGTGATCTATAACCTCAGTGTGTGCCAGTGTCCCACCCCCCCCCCTATGGCTCTGTACCACTGGATCGTGCCACCTCCTTGACAAGGATTCCCACATCATCTCTCCCCCTCTGTTACTCTTCATCTGCTATGTAATTTTAGCTGGAAACAGCTCGACTTTTATGCAAAATGGAATAAAATTCAAGGAAACAAAATGGAAACAGGCTCAAGTGTGTGCACTGGTTGTAGGAGCTTGTCTGCTGTTGAGACTGGAAGAGATGTGTGTGCCTCGATGTTGCTGTTGGACCTTCCCTGC